GTTGATGGGGACACAAGAGAGGGCCTTTTCTGTGGCTGCCCCTAGACTTTGGAACTCTCTTCTCGGGGAGACTACAATGGCGCCTTACTTGATAGTTTCTTCTGACAGGAAAAAAACTTTCTTCTTCAGAAAGGCATTCAAAACAGAAAGCTTTTAAAGAATGGCCTGCCATATTGTTTTAATGTATTTTAAATATTTTTATCTTCTTAAAGTATTTTATATTTTAGCATGTAATTTGTTTTAATTATTGTAGTAATTTAATTCTGTTTTAATGTACTATTTTTGTATGTTTTAATCATATTGTTTTTTTAATGTTATAAGACTGAGTCCCAGTCCTTGGAAAAGGGTGGGATGATGATGATGATGATGATGATAATCTGGAGTGTACATAAATTTGATTTTTCTTTCAACAATTGGTCCAATATATCTCCTTTAGTAAAGACTAGCAAGTGGATTTCAGGAAATAACCACAAAAAGCAGGAGGTAGATGAGATCTGTCATAGTTAGTATGTTGGAATAGGACCAGGAAGTCAGAGGTTCAAATCCACACTCAAACAATGAAACTAAAAAAAAAATGACCTAGGCTCGGTATTGCTCTCTCAGTCTGAATAGATTCATGACAAAAATAAAATTGGGAAGGAAGGGGAAGAACCACACTCACCCACTAGAACAATTTGAGGGAAAATGGGATAAAAAATTCTGAAATAAGGTAGAATTCAAAGATATAGCCATGTTAGTCTGTAGAATCAGTATGTAGAGAGATCTTGTAGCATCTTTGAGACTAACAGAAAGAAGCAAGTTAGCAGCATGAGCTTTCATAGACTTCAGTTTACTTCCTCAGATGAATTTATCTTCAAATGCATCTGAGGATATAGACTGAAGTCTATGAAAGCTCATGCTGCCAGCTTCTTTCTTTTGGTTAGTCTCAAAGGCTCTACATGATCTCTCTCTCTACATTCTGAAATAAGGTGTTAGTTATCAGGCAGGTGTTATCATTTGATGGCAAGCAATAGAATCATAGATCTGGGGAGCTAGTTCCTTTAGTTCCACCTGCTGCTATTGTAGGTATATGCAGGTAAAAACACCCCTGACAACAGTGTCTGTTTAAAAATCTCCAATGACAGACTGTCCACAACCCTGCAAGGCAGGCTATTCCACTGTCAAATAGTCCCTACCATAATTCTTTAAGTTCTTTCTAACATTTAGTTGAAATCTCCCTACTTGTAATTTGAATCCATTAGTTCAGGTTCTGCTTTCTGCACCAGGAGTAAAGCTTGTTCCATCTTCCAATAGCAGCCTTTCAGATAGCAGCCTTTCAGAAGGGCTATCATATCATCTCCAGTCTTCTTTAGGCTAAACATGTCCATTTGTCTCAAGCATTCCTCATAGGACTTAGTCTAAAGACTCTTTACAATCTTTGTCACCAACCTTTGAACATGAAAATATACTTTTAAACCTATGCTGTCTAGATCTGTATGCAGTAATCCAGATGAGGTTTGATACACCCATGTTCAATTTTTGGTCTACTAAGACCCCCAGATCCTTTTTTACATCTACTACTGTCAAGACACATATCAGCCATCCAATAACTATACAGTTGATTTACCCTCCTAAATGCGTGGTTTTGTTGTTTTTATTACAGTATATTTACTTATAACCACCTTTTTCTCAAAATCAGAACTTAATGCAACTTACAAATGAAAACAAATAGTTTTAAAATACAAAAGATCAACAATAAAATAAAATAAAATTATAGACTTGAAATTTTGTTTACCATCCCTAACTTGGTGTCATTTACACATCAGGTAAGCATCCCCTCTATTCATTCATATAGGTAATTTGTATATATTAAGTAATTATAATTAATATAAAATAATATAATATATAAGTACTATAAGTAATAAGTAATATAAGTAATATAAATATATAAGTAATAATAATTTTGAATAACATTAGGTTTGGGATAGAACTTTGAAGCAATCCACATCAGGGAACTTTTAGTAAACATTCTTTGGGACAGGCCTGTCAACCAGCTACAAATCCATCTAACAGTAGCATGCTCTAGTTTACTTTTTACAACCTTGTATGTGAGAATATCATGGGAGACCTTGTGAAAAGCTTTGCTGAAATCAAGAAATACTACATCTACAGTATTTTGCTGATCTACTGAGCTTGAAACTTTATGAGAAAGAGATATCAATTGAGTTTAGAGTTGTTGTTTCTTGAGAAACCTATACTGGCTCTTAACAATCAGAGCATTTTTTCAAAACATGTACAGATTGGCTGTGTAATTATCTATTTTAGAATATTTCCTGGTACGGATGTTACATCCGTAGGTGCCGAAGTGTTCATCCGTAATCTTTTTTTGTAATGGTAACATTGGGCTGTCTCCAGGTTGCAGCAACATCACCTGTTCTCCAATAATTCACTTCATTAAAAAAAAAAAAGACATATCTGTAAACTCTCTACAAATGACTAAGCACGGTAGGTGGTAGGTAAATCACCTTTAAAAAACATTTTTGTGGTATATGTTCTAACTTATTATAATACAATTGGAAGGAAAACAGCCTGGAAGTAGTTAATCATATATAACTAGTTACATGTAGCTGTTTTCTGGCCCAGTAAGTAAGCCAAAACTACATTGCATTGCAGCTGTAGCTTAATGAAGGATAACATAACTCCTTCCAGTGTATTCCAGTGCAAATAATTGTTATTTTTATAACTACTGAGGAGGATGAAAAATGCTGGCTTTAGCTGTATCTTTAGGTGGGACTTGTATTCTGTCTAGAGGAAATAACAAGATAGCTTGGAGAGGAGAGTGTTACATATTACAAGTCAGTGTGGCAGTGGTTACTTCCATGTCAGTGCTGAGATGAATCCATTCCAAGTTTTTGTCTGCAAGCTAATAGAACTGTCCAAGGTGCTGAACCTAGTTTGGATCTGTATACATGGAAACAGTAACTGCAGTTTCATTTACCAGCAATTTTTTTTTGGGGGGGGGGTCTCTCTAGTGCAACTCTATTGTCAACTTCCACCAGATGTTGACCATAGAGTAATGCTGGAGGACCTCCAGATGCTTAGAGAGGTCACTTTGTGAATCTATGGTCACATTTTGCCAGAAAGATAGTGTTTGCTGTTAACTGCAGTTTCCTCTTATCTGCAATAACCATGGGAATGGATCCTCCACAGATATGGGGATCAGACTGTATGTTCCAGCATCTTGGTGGGCACCTTTAAAGAGCAATCTATAATCTAGAACAGGTTCACTACCACACTGACACAGAAGATACTGGCCACCACTGCAGGGTAGTAGCTTATTTTTAAAAAAAATATATAATTACCAGTGACTACTCCAATTACTTTTGAAGGTGAAAACCCAGAAAGTAGTTACTTCCTGAAAATTAAAATGTAATTACCTACTGTTCCAGGAAACCTTGAAATTAAAATGGCAACTAATGATGTTTAAAAGGTAACTTTCCAAATTCATGGAGGGAGGATGTTAACAATGTATTGGGGTATTTTAATTTTTCTGTCTCTAGCTTTCCAATTCTTAATGGCTTGTGCAAAATCTTGAAGCTTCCCTTGGTTCCAGGTTCAGACTAACTTGTGAGAGTGTATGCTGCTCCTGATGAGATCATACATGCCAACCAAATCCAATTATATAAATCTCTCCAGAGATTATCAACAAATGATGACAAAAGGTCTGTGAGTTCATGTGGGCTCTTGGCTCTCCAAATGCTTGTGGGAAACTTAAAATAGACCATTGATTATGTCTCCTGCCTCCTTCCCAGATCTGCTCAAGGGAAGGACGAAAAGAACAAAGATTGTTAGGTGTGTGTCTGTGTGTGTGTGCATGTTTTGGTGTGGTGAGTACCAGGAGATTCAACTGAGTAATTCATATGCCTAAATGATTACCAGGCCATTGCAATGAACTGCTGTGCTCCAAGAGTTGTATTGAAAGAAAAGAAGAAAGCTTTAATATTAATCAAGATGACAAGGTGTATGAGCCTTGGGATCTCAGCAGAGGAAGCCTACAGCAGAGCAGAGCATGCCATAGCTGGAAGGTTTATGAGTGAAGCTGCGCTTCAACTAAAGGTAGCATCACACTGCAGGCTACATCTGACAGGCTGCTCAGCAAATACCCGCTCAGTCTTTACATGATATAATTGGATCTCTGGGTTTTCTAAAGACTTTAAAGTCACCATGAAAGGAAACAGACATACTGCATAACAGGGGGGGGGGGGAATTAAACACACAAACAGTTGTCTAGATGGCTTATAAGAACACTGACTCCATGCACACTAGGAAGCCATGGAATTAGGAAATGGGATAATTTAATTAAAATGGATCAGCTGTCAACCTTGGCTGCAATCCGGCACTCAGTCGGGTGGCTTGAATCCCATTAAAGTTTATGGTTTCTCAGCAGTCAGTTGTGTTCAGGATTGCAGATTTTCACATCTCACTCAGTTCATTTTCTTGGTGGGTGGTGGGTGAGAAACTGCAATGTGCACCCCTCCAGAAGTGTTTCCCCATTTTCTCAGGCTTGGAATTAAAAATATTTTGTAGTTCTGGAAAGACCCAAATAAATATCTAGGCCTTTCTTTTCTATTTTATTCATTTACTAGCATTCATCTAAGGTTTATGGAAGAGCAGGTGTGTGTGTGTGTGTGTGTGTGTGTGTGTGTGTGTGTGAAAGAGAGGGAAAGAGGGAGAGAGAGAACTTAGAAAATATATTTTCACAGGCTTTCTCCCTCCAATTACTGGATTCATACTTATAACCCCCCCCTTTCTCTTCTCCTCTAGAAAGTAAAATATTAATGAAAATAAACATGCAAGGTATGAGATGATGCTGTCTCACATGGTGTCTGGGTATACATTATTCTAGAAAAGTAAAAACATGAGGAAATGATGGAGATGCAAATCAAACAATGATTCAGAAGCTCTTATGTGGTCATTATTTAACTGTAGAGAGCCAGTATGGCATAATGGTTTGAGTGTTGGACTAAGACTCTGGTGACTAGGGTTCAATTCCCTACTTTGCAACGAAACCCACTGGGTGACCTTGGATAAGTCATATGCTCTCAGACTCAAGAGAAGGCAATGACAAATCTCCTTTCAACAAATCTTGCCAAGAAATCCCCATGGTTATGGTGCCTTCGGGTTGCCATGAGTTGGAAATGACTTGAAGGCACACAGCACACAGGCTTTTAAAACAGAAAGTCTTTGTTATATGCTTTTATTGTGTAGTATTACTTTTAATGCATGTATTCATTTTATAACTGTACGCTGTTAGAATGTATGCCTCTGGCAAGTTTTTTTTATCTCTAATTAATTGTTTACTATGTACAGCACTATGTAAATTTACATCGTGCTTTATAAATACTACTACTACTAATAATAATAATAATAATAATAATAATAATGTCTTTAAAGAATGGTCTGGGGTTGTACTGTTCTATAGTGTACTGTTTTAAAGTGTTTTTTATTTCTCTTAAACAATTTTACAACCAAATGATCTGTAATAATTTAATCCTATTTTAATGCTCTCTCTTTTGTGTGTGTTTTAATTGTACTGCTTTTTTTAAAAAAATTAGCTACTCTGAGCTCCAGTTTTGGAGAGAAACCAAGATAACAACAGCAACAGGAGCAGGAGCAGTGACACACACATTGAATCAGGACATGAAAAAGGGAGCCATGCCCCCTCCATTTCCAGTTCTCTCTCTCATATCATGTGGAGACTTACTTATCTGAACAGAAGCACTTCCTTTCCCTTCCCTGTGAATGCACTTCATGGGGTTGGGACCTCACAACAAAAAGATCAGTATTGTTCAGTGAATAGAAAGGCCAGGATAGCACAAGCTGAGCTCATGCTATCCTGGCCCAGATCCCAACCTGGATCAAGCCCCAAGCCTGCTACTATACCATGGACTTGCTACCACCACATGCCCCTTACTAACATTGCCACTAGCAAGAAGACCCCCACTGCTATGTCTAATAATGACAACATTTATTTACAATGCCCTTTCCACCATCAAACATATATAAGCAAAAACACAGGCAATAAAATGCAAAAATGCAAAAATAATGTACTAATATACCAAAACAACTTATTATTGGTCACTACCGATCTTGGCAACCTTAGGCACACTCAGCAACTCAGCAATCTTATGAATTGAAGAGGAAGGTCTTCACCTCTTTGCAGAAGTGGGTAAGATCCTCCTCTAGCCAAAGGTACAAAGGAAGACTGTTCCACAAATGCAGAACCAGATCCTGAAAGGCTCACAGCTTTGACAGAGCTGTATGGTTTGGTGGTCTGACATGGAAACAGGCCTCCTGGCTACACTCATGTTGCCAAGTGTTTTGTTTCCATGTCAGACACAGTGGTGGTGGTGGGGTTCTTCTCACTAGTGGCAATGGTAGCGGGAGGTAAGGGGCACATGGAACCATATGGTCTGCCAGGGTTTGCCATAGAGTTTTGACAAAGCTCCATTGCCAGTCCAGAAGGGCTAACAACAAATAGTTAAAATAATACAAAGAGAAAACATTTTTAAAACACATTAAAATACTCTTTAAAAACTAGAGAAAGCAGCCTAAAAACAATCCTAAAATACAATTCTAAAACAGAGCAATTTCATTGTGGAACACTACTATTTTTGCTGTCCCCTGGAAGCTTAAAATACATGGAGCCAGCCTAACTAGGTAACTAACTACCTAAGGAGGTCCAAAGTTAGGGGTGCAGCTGTAGGCAAGGCCCTGTTATATGTACATACCAATGTAATTTCACAAGATGTTGGGATATGCAACAGATATACTGGCCCCAAAGCTGTTTAGGACTTTTTAGGTCAAAACCTATACCTTGAAGTGAGTTTGGAGGAAAATTGGAATCCAGTGCAGTTCTTGTAAGATTCATGGTCTCTAATATAAACATCTGACACCAATCTGGCTGCTGGATTTTGCACTAGCAGCAGCTTCCAAACACTTTCCAAGGGGAGCCCTATGCAGAGTGCATGACAGTAGCCTAATTGGGAGGTAACTAGAGCATGAACCACTGTGGTAAGATCTTCCTTTCCCAGAAAAGGGCATATCTGGTTTACTAGCTGAAGCTGGGCAAAGGTGCTTCTAGCCATCACATCAGCCTGGCCTTCCAACAGCAGCACTGGGTCCAAGAATTCCCTCAAGCTATGAACCTGATCTTTTAAAAGAAGAGCAACCTCAACTGGGAGAGGCTGTGATGCCAACCCTAGGTTGGCTTTCTTACTAATCAACAGTACTTGTTTGGATTGCACATCAATTTATTCATCTGAAGTTCTAGACTGTTACAGTAATGTAGTTTATTGTGGCACCAGAGCTCTCTGACAAAGAAGGCTCAATGTCTCAGAAAAAAATACAGTTCCCATGAATCCCTAGCACTGAGCCAGGGCAGTTAAAGTGGACTCAATTTGCACTATTTCTAGCAGTCTGCAAAGTCCCGGAGTGCAATTTTTTGGGCTGGATTAGGCAGAGGTGCAGAGGAAAGGGAAAGAATGTCAACCTTATTACCAATCAAGAAAGAAAGCTGTCAGCTTCCAGCAAACTGTTTCTACAGGGCTTGGTTTCTGGTTCAGGGAATTTTCCAAGCCAGTCTTCCCTGAATATTGTAGCTTCCTGGATCCAGCTATAAGCCAGGCATTGCAGAAAAAGGCAGTTCAGGTGTGAGTATCTTTCTCTCCCAGTGGCAATGATACTTATTTCTTTTCTCCCTTTCCACTGTGCTGCTGTATCTACAGCCTTCTTATGCTTGCTACCACCAACATAGTTATGTCAGTGTACTACACCAGAAGGATCTCAGTCTCAATATCTGTTTCACTGTGTTTCTTTGAATCTCATGCAGATCTTTCCCTAGCCTTACTTTGGGTCAGATTGAATTACATTTTTTGATCTTTTTACATGGAATTTTTTTGCATAGTTTCAAACATTTTTGTGAGCATTCTTTTATGCACTTTATCTAATATATGCATCCTTCCTCTGCTTAAATAAAGAATGCTTGTGTATATCTTGGTTGTGCATTGTAGTTATTTCTGTTTAAAATGTAATGTCATTTTATACACACTTTATTTCTCAGAATTGTCCTGTAAGTCTTGCAGTTGTGTGTCTTTTTCTCACAAGGTGAATTCCTTTTTGCAAGAAGTCTCAGCAGCTGCAGAATAGATGTTTTCATTTAGACTGTCACATCCAATGAATTTCTTTCCCAGTTCTATGCAGAATACCTGTGCATTCCTATGGATCCTGGCCATATATTGAACTGTCGCTTTCAAAAGGGATTAAGTTATCTCCATCTATCTAGTATGGCATTTTTGAATGTGTGTGTATGTGTATTTAAATACACCCTTCCTCTTTCTTTTTCTGATTTTTTTGGTCTCTCATAATTGCCTCTGAACAGTTGCATATTTTTGCTGGTGTGGACAGTGGTCAATGAATGGCAATCAAATAGCTGAGTAATTCATTTTCAACCCTCTAATTACACTGCATATTTAATGATTGTTTATATGTAGAAGAAGAAAATAGCATAATAGGCACAATTCAGAGAAAACTATTCACCCAGAAAAACCAACAGAAATGAGCTATGCTGATAAAGCAACACCACTGTGGGCAACTGCAGCAGATTGGGTGTGAGTTTTCTGTCCCTGGGACAGTTTACATCATGATCTGTGGAAACATTTCTGTAAAATTTCACAGGTTTCTTTTTAAAAACCATACACCTAGGAGATCTCTACTTGGATAATAAATTGGGTTGTGAACATATTTTGAAAACTTAAAATGCTCCCCAAACTGATTTAAATCTTAGTGTTCTTCATTTTCCAGTTTTGTGGGTTTTCCATTTAATTTTTATATTTTAATTTTATTGCTTTGCATAATTTTCTGTGTGCCATCATGGAATTGCATTTGCTCATTGCTTATTTTAAAATTAGCAATATTTATTGTGGAACCTTCAGTGTAGCCAAATACATCCTATCTGATCAACAGACCTCTTGGTTTTAATGAAATGCATCCATTCAGTGACAGCAAAATCTCAAAGCATTCCTGAATGGAAAGCTGTCTTGAGTGTTGCATCCATTTCCTAGACATGCTTAGCATGTATTTATTATTTATTATAAAAGCAAATAATTATTGTGTGCAGATCATGTGATTTCCTATCTGGATGTCTGCTATAGAACATCTGAAATTGAGGTGCCCACAAATTCGACTAAAAGCTGTTGAATATCTAAAGGAGAGATGTACACACAAACACACATGCACAGAGATCAAAAGATGAGCTTATGGCTCTGACCTCTTAACTCCTAGCACATTGATTTATGTCAAGAGCAACATGTCAGTGAGCATAACGGGAACAAGCAGAGAAGAGATTTCAGAAAATACAATCAGGATGCATTTCTTTCTCACAATGAGGTTGAAGTGCAAGAGAATCCAGGAAGGGTAAGAACAGCCTAACAGCCTAACAAATAAAATGAAAAGCCATGGAACTGAATGGGATCCAATATCCTGAGGCTGAATGTCACTTGGGAAAAATTATGCCAGGAAACACAGGAGGCAGTGATGATTCATTTCCTCTTAAATGGAGAGTTCTACACGTATAAGTAGATGCACTTCTATTAAAAAGCCAGGGTTACTGTCCTCAGTGGACATATTATATGGTATTTCTAGGCAATCTTATAAACCATTCTAAGATCAATTTCTAAAATTGTGTGTCTCTATGATAAATCATGGCAACCCCATTAGGTATTAGGGATAAAGGATGGTGTGAGTTTCAGTTTTACCCACATCAGAAATTTATTTTAAACATCAAATTAAATTCCCATGGTAAATATCCAGAAATGTAGGAACAAGTCCCAGGCCTAAATGACTACATCTTTCTGATTCAGTTTTTCTGAAATTCATTCTTTCTAAATCTCAAGTCCTTTCCATCCCTTATAGGAAGAAATTTTGGAATTTTGGTAAATTCTCTAAAAATGGACTAAAATGAAATTATCTTCCATTTACACTGGCTTTCCAGGGACTCTCTCAC